CAGAAAACCGGGTCTTAAAGGGCCCTCCGCCCAAATCCTTTTAGCCTTTTTGCCTACTCGAGGTCCTCTATCGAATGATGTATGAACGAACGAAATCGGAGCCGGACACCTGGGGCGGTTCCCTCGTAAACAGCAAGCACGAGATCATATAGATATTGAGAGTAGTATAGAAAACTCATTTTATACTACACAAAATCAGCTCGTACACCAGGTTTAAGTCACTGGATCATGCCAAGAGTTTTTTGTTCCGGTAAACAAAGGTTGACAAAGAAGTATTGAGCCCACAGTTTACTCTTCTAACGTATATAAATAAGTTTAGGCAAAATTTTTCGATCGAAGACTTGAATATTCCTGTGCGCTCAATAATTGTCACCCTGTATCGACCAGTGCCAGCATTGACCTGAATTTCGGTTCAATTTCAAAATTATTGGTATCATACTACTGTTGAGAATCGACTGACGTTGAGGTCGAATGAAAGCACTAAAAAGTAACGATAATTCAGAGACTTATTGAGCATTCTTCCATAAACAAATTGTTTAAACGAGACTACATTAGTGAGAACCTCAGCTTTAATCATAAAGATATAGCTATTGAATGATCACCTCAAATCTAGCCACATTCCCAAAAATTTAAACTTCGAAGCATGCTTGGCAATATGTCCTTCACCTGAATTTTCGATAGATTTTGATTACTTGACAATGGAACAATCTCTTACAAATCCTGGCAACATTATTCACTAAGCAGCCATACGCACTGTATTGTGAAACAGATAGTAGCTTAATTTAGCAATAGTTCAGACGAGATTCGGAAAGCAGAACGAGAAAAGAAGAGTTCTAATTGTCATTGTGTAGTTATAGAAAAATATGTACATAAAAAAAGTACTTGGTTTCCCTAATAAAAGTACTTGTTGTCAAGAAATATCAGTAAATCAAGGCGTTAGGGCATTTCTGGTTCAAGAAATGCTTTTTGACTATTCTTCTCGCACAGCGAGATTACAAATTTTGCAACGCATTTTTTGCGCAAGAAATGACATCTTATTATTTCTTGTACACAACAACTTTCATTAGGGTTGATATTTCACTTTTGACCTTAACCATCACAGCAGGTTGTAATGCAAAGTTCATCGGATTCAAAAGTACACTACGATTTCAGTGCATAATATACCGTTCAAGAATGAGATATGACTTCAAACTATTTTACCAGCTGTTTGTAATTGTGAATTTACACGTATAATTCGAATGAAGAAATCACTAATTATCTTCTTCACATTAACTTAAGCTTCATCACTTCCACTTGATGATGACACATCAGTCGTTTCCGAAGTTAATTCAATGCTGTTACGACTGCTACTGGAAGATGACGATGTTAAAGAGTACGATGTTGTACTGTGCATACTGCTACTGTCACTATCACTGTCATTTGATTGATTTATCAACGTCATTTCACCTTCATTTCCAAGATTTGTCGCTGCTATATAAAAGTAATACAAGAAATTACTATTAATCAGTGAGAGGATTCTTTACTTTCACTATCTTCTGTAGATTGTCTCAAACTGCTTCAGAATGTCAAAATATACTCAATTTTATACGCTTAATCATATTTTTTGTAGTAGAAATTAGTACGAAACATTCCCTTATTCCCAAAGCTTTCTAGAAAAGTTTTCAAAAAAACCAAAGTACTTTCTGTTGGTTTTTAAGACTATTATGGAAGTTCACGGTGTAGTACAGATAAAATTGAGTATATTTTGACATTCTGAAGCAGTTTGAGACACGGTTGACTGAGTTATGATTCAACGTGGTCGATAACCTATGTTTCATGTGTTTTGAAGGTTCCAGGCATGAAGTTTATCCGATAGGTAGGTTTTCGCAAAATGCCTATCGCTCCCGAACCATGGGGTTAAAAATCTGGGCTTGTGTAGTTTTAAAGAGGACAGTCTAGAGGTTCGAGTCAATCTGTCAGAATTCAAAATACATTATTTTAGAAGCATATAGTATACCAAATCCGTGAAGATTTTCTAGAATATCTCTGAAGAAACCTCTAGTTAGGCAGCATCATTGGTGACCTTATACGTTTGTAAGCCATTCTTTTTTTATACTATTATCTTATTTATACTATTATATTATTATTATATTATTTTTTTCTCAAATCCGACCGAAATAATGCCTAGTCCTACACAATAGTCCATGCTGATCATGAATATCACAATTAGAACGTCCAAAAAACGTTTGTAAGCCATTCTTTTTTTATACGAATGCAGAAAAGGCCAAGACTTTGTCGTAAAACGCTTGGTCTTTGTGAAAGGTTTTTCAGAAACCCTGGCTTGTCCGTCAAAAGGCATTTCCAGAAGTCGCCTGACACAACACAAAATTTTTCCACAATAAATTTTAGATAGAAGAAAGTACGCTCTATAAGACCTATATGGTTGTTTGACTTCAACATCTAGGCCGTCTAAGAAAAAAGTACCCCGTAAAACGCCAGCGCTCAAAAATCGACTTTCTGGAATCCCATTATGAACTACGACGACCCTGATAATACCATTAGATTCAGCATCCGCGAAAATCTCTTGAGATCCAGCTTCCAGGAATCTACTGCTTCTGGAAATAACGCTGTAAGCAAATCTTTCAACTAAAAAATCCTCTCGTTGATCGCTGCTACACTGATTCTTCTAAACAGGTACTTTTATCTCTTTAAAATAAAATATCTTTCAGCAAGTTTCTCTGCGAATCGTGTTCTTTCAAAATTAGTGAGCAAACTTTAATGATGTATGAAAAAACTCCTGCTCTCAAAAATGTATCAATGTGTTATGTTGAACAATGAAAACTGAACCTTACTTGTAATAGTAAATGGATTTTGTGTCATTTCCT